TGTAAACCGACTGATGTAAAACGGAATGGCTGAATAGGTGGGATAAAAGGTAGAAAAGAAAAATCAACTATATGTGTACTGGAGAGAAAGGCCAGTTTGAAGACACCCGGTTGAGAGAACATTTAACCAAAAGGCAGACTGGCATAAAGCAGTGATTCACCAATAATCACGGGGCATTGAGGTTTTCGTAACTTTGGCCGCATTTTCTTTTCAATATTGTTAGTTGGGAATTTTAATCTTCCTGAGCTGAAATTTGAACTACTGCCAGCTGCCATTTGCTCTAAATAAAATATACGATAATGTATTCGTTTTAAATGTTTAATTTAGACCACTCATTTAAACAAGGCTGTGACTGGCTGAGTACGCCAATTTTATGTATCGTTAATTTTCAATTTGCATTGCAGTGTACGTGGGTTCGTAACTTTTTCATTCATATAAGTAATAGCACGAAAGCTCGAGCAATTAAGGATTTACACTAATCTCGAGATACCGTTTTGAAAATCATGTCAAATTGCACTCGCTTAAAGTCTGAGTGTAATTTTGAGAGTAATTTCAAACATCACTCGTAGAGTACATCTTCCATTGCACGTATTCATACGATTACCTTAACTGAAAACAGGTCTTTTTCGGTGTGTTGTTCAGTCAGAAAATCTGCTTTGGAGCGAAAAATAAAGGTTACACGTGACAGCAAATAATATTGGAAAGCGCTATTTGTATTACAGCTGCATACGTTTCCGTAAAAAGAACCAAACGTTAGTACGCCCCCTAAGCACTTTCTTATTTTTGGCAGTACATTAATCTGACAAGTCTTAGAANTTCCTAGTTGACACCGCACTCGAAGATTTGCCTCATGACCTCATTCCTTACGAAGCTCAATTTACTACTTATCCCTTACACAAAAATATAAATGTTACCATCACATGCATTGTAAAACGATTAGGTGTTGCTTGTAATGTAAAAGAAGATTTAGAGATAACAGAAGAAAACTGACATGCATTAGCAAATTGACCTATTACTCTCTGCTAAGTGCGGGGGATTCCCTGCTGTTAACATGAAACGAAATACACGTATGCAACGTAACGAAACGAAACGTGAATAACATTTACGATACCCTGTAGTAAAGAACAAGATCTAGCTCGCCTCAACACGGAAATTTTCAGAGCTGACAGGAGGTTGAAGGACAGGACCCATACAAAGCATCTTCTGAGATAATTTTGGTTTAGCTTTCATCGTGTTTATTCAAGTGGATTTATTATCAGCTGTGTTTCCTAATTAGCCTTCCTAATCTACTTATACAATAAACAAAAGTTTGTTTAAAAACAACAATAAAACAACAAACTGCAATTGAGCGCAAAGGCATAAGATTTATCTCGAAATAACACAAGGCTTTCAGGCTTTCGGACTCCAAATGATTGACGCTTTCAAGGTACAGATTGAAAAGATTCCAACATTTTTACATAGCTTAAAATATATCTACTTTATTTACCGTGTTTAGCCTGATACAATAATGATAAAAACTCGAAAGGACATGACAACAAGTACGATCTTGCGAGACTTTGTTGAGAATTATAACCGACGTTGTTAACATTATGGAGATTTACTTGTGTTGTGATTTTCATGGTTAACCGATGCATTTAATCGGGGACAGCAATTCTAATCCCTAATGGCGCCTGACTCTCTTCACCTTTTCATCAACAAATTCAAGTACGTTATGAACATGTCAAATTAGGCAAGAGATTTCTCGCCGAAAGCAAAACCAGATTATTCGCTAAAGAACACTATTATGGAATCTTAAAGATAAGCTAAGGTAAATTAATTAGCAAATGAAGGGGGATTTCATTCTTAAAGCTGTTAAAACATCTAAGAGTTAAAAAAAAAATAGTTCAGTCGTGAGATTGGCACAAACCCATCCAAATTATAAGCAAAACTGGTAATCTCCGCATTTAGGAACATTTCCTCGAGGATATGTAATAACGAAATGTTACTTACCTGCATAAGCCTTGTGAATAACCAACAAATGTAAACAGACGAATATTAGTAAGGTAGGAAAGTTGACCAAACCCATGAATCCAGTGCTATGCTTGGGTGTGAAGTGAAAGGATTACTCTGTCGTGCGATTCGCCTTATGTCGTCTTATGCCGAGTATTATATTTTTAAACCTACAATAGTTTTGTAAGCAAAGGTCATTTAGGGCGATGATTTTTCAGTATCATATTTCCGACAGGCCGTGACAAAATAAGTTTTAAATAGTTTATTACCAAACGAGCGTGCCTGCATGGGGCCATCACTCACCCCAAGGCCCTACTCGTACGCCATATTTTTAGTAGCCCCTGCTCAAACGATATTTCGCCCTTTGGATATGCCCATGGATCAGCAAAACCTAGTTGATTAACTCTCCAAAAAACGTTTACTGTAGCTTCGATTTGATCAGTTGCTTAGAAGTCTATTTTATGACCAAGAATGCCGGGCAGGAGCCCATCGATCACCCTAAGAACTATGCCGGGTGAGCAGGGAGAGTTGAATTGTCTGGGATCCAAAATGAAACGAAGGTCTTGGAGCTAGCGAAGGAAAAGTTTTCTGGTAAGAATAAATTAGAGGAAATTTCAAGGGCACTGTATCGTAGCTGCTTACCACAGGGCTTTGGTTGAGAACTAACTGCTGATCATTTTTGGGAATGATTATCGAGTGGGTTAGTGCAGGAGCCCATGGTTAGTGTTGGAAAGGGGTTCTATATATTAGGGATAGGGTAAATACATCAATTCGTCTGCGTAACTTGGTTGTTGAAGCTGATTGAGTTTCTAAAGAAACTGTTAGGCTGCGTTCGCGGGCAAGTGAAGCACTTAGCTATCACTCTCAACTTGAACTGATAAAGGTCAATAGGACGCCGTAACGAGTTTGTGAAGCTGGAGTTTCGAGCGTTACCCCTTCTACGGAGGCCTTCGTCACTTTTCTCTGACGAAGGACCAACGGTTAATCGGCTATATGGTCTTATTTACAAGGTAATCTCTCTAAACCTAATTGAGATTACTCCCGGTTTCGGGAATCCAAGGTAGGTTTAGAAAAAGCCAATCCTGTGAAAAGGATTTTGTCGTGGACAGCCCAATCACGCATTTAATTTTTCATCCGCCACGCAACACAACGCGCATGCTGACATTACCAGCGCCAAAGAAGTGAGTACCATCTCTACGTTGCGTTATTTTAAGACTCTCGGAAAAATAATGGAATCCGAGATGATGTATCAAAGTTGATGAACCGAATGACGTATCTGACGTCGTATATGACGTCATGACAAAAACCTCATCTTGTGGAGTAAGCTGACTGCTGTCTTTAAAATTTGAAATGCTTTCGATATTTAACAATTATTCAACGAAGTGGAGGTGAATAGTGGTGGATATTTACCGAGCCACGAAGCGGCGAGGTAAATATCCATCACTTTCACCGACACTGAGGTGAATAATTGTTTTACTATATACCACACAAGCTGAATAATTAGCGGACCAAAACGTTATTTTATGTGTGACAAGCGGTCGGAAATTTTAAAATCTCTCCTGCCGGCTGCTCGGAGGTAAATAGTACTTGCTAATCACCTCCGAGTTAACCAATCAGAGCGCGCGAAAAGCACTATTCACTTGTGTGGTATATACTAAATCTTATTACAATGTAAACCCAACGAGGGGTCTCTTTCCAGCCCCTCGTCATACCTCAGTGGGGGTATAAGTTTGCTTCTATTTACAAGCTGGTCAGGAAAACAAGGCCTGAAATAACAGTTAGTACAGGTCTGCTCTTTTAGATATTTAAAAATGCTCCCTTTAGTTTATTTTACCTATACATATAACCTGACCATCGATCAGGGCCAAACCTCTACCCTTGTTAAATAACTAATATAATTTACACAGTGATATACAACTTTGTAAGACTGTACAACGGGAATCTACAATGCTAACAATAACTTTAAAACAGCTGTCTTGTTCTCACTGCAGCACATTGCAACTCCATATGAAGAAAAGGCACTCTACAGAAACTTCGCGAACCCATTTCAGTTTTCAAGTTGTCTGTTGGTCAACACCAATACATGAGATAACTCCATGAGATCCCAAGTGTTATCAACAAGTTTGCTTGTGTTAACTTTGTCTTTGATGCAGATGCTTTATCAAATTTCTGTGTCTTGATGTTGTTGAGTCCTGTAGAGTTTGATCGTAACATCTCTGTGTTTTGTGTTGGAGGACTCTTAAGAACACCTTGCGACAGATCAACACTGCTTGGCTTTTGATTAAGAATTAGGGATATAGACGCAGTGCTCTGTGTTGGGGTGAGGCTTTGAGACACAGAGGTAGCTTGGGATGTCGACACAGTGCTCTGCGTTGGAACAAGGCTTTGAGACACAGAGGTAACTTGGGATGTCGACACAGTGCTCTCCGTTGCGGTAAGGCTTTGTAACACAACTGCTCTGCTTTGGGTTGCATCGATAAGGTGTGATGATGTCATCGATGTTACCGGTGATGAAGGATGAATAGCTCCTATAGAAGAAACAAATTCATCATATGTATGGAGTTTGAAAGACAAAAACCCTTCCTTAATTCACTTGTCGACTTTTATACTTCATATTCGTTATAAGGTAATTGGAGGAGCTACTAATGAAGGGAAAAAAAACACATTATTATTATATGACTGTCGATCGCCGTAAGTGTAACATGGATCGATTGTAAGAAAGGCGCTTTCATGATCAGCTAGGTTTCCTTCGTACAGCTTCGACTGTTAGAACTATCAAGTTTGTCATTTAAGTGGTTGGGTTATGACACCCAGTACCTTCAAAGTTTCATTCCGGATTTGTTATTCGATAAGGGGAAAAAAAATGTATATATTACAACATTTTGAAAGGCATGGAAAATTCAAGATGGCAACAACGTCCCAAAATAAAATTGCGTTTGAGTTTCTATTCTTTGACTCTTTCAATCTAAGAAAAAATGAAAACAAGTGCAGTGCACATTGTAAAAGAAACTTCACGTGCTTCTTTGCTTTAATATGCGACACGTATGTATATATAGGTTAATAATTTTGCAACAAGGATGACTGGAAAAACTGGCCTGTTTTAAAATAGAGTTTTCTTCCCTGTGACACTCCGAGGTATTTATGTTGCTAGTGAACGCCTTTGGTTAAACCTCAAAAGTAGACTTATGAGGGGAGGGCTGGGGCTCTAGTTTAGCAGTTACCATATTACATCATATATACCATAAGATCAGACATTTTGTCACAAATAATTGCGGTTTAATTTTGCTAGGAATAGTCTATATAAATTTGCCAAAGCTAGGAAAGGACCACAGGGCTAGCGATAAGTTAGCAAGATGGTACAACCTCCTAATAACTCATAAAGGAAGGTGAACAAGGGAAAGACGCTACAAATCAAGGATATTCCGGCTTTTGGTCATTTCTTCAAGACCGCCCTCTGAAGGTTACAATCTCAAGTAATAACTTACCACACTGATTACAGGTCAGCGGACACTGCTGCTTTATGTTGTCGTATTTACAATAACTTGCGTCGTAATCAGAACATTTTGAATTCAGGTCGTTACACACAGGAGCTAAAAAAAGAAAAAAAAAAAAACAGTCCTCACTGAGACTGTGATCGGAAAGATATAAATGCAAGGAAATTGTGATCTAAAATGGAACATGATCTGTCAGATGAAATCTTGCCGATCAGTCCTTGCAACATATTGGTCAGACCTTGACGCAGAAGTGTTGAAAAATTGATAAAATAGAGGACGTCTGGGAAGTCCATACACGTCTATGCCCACTTAACTACTCGTAAGAGTCAAGCTCGACTTGCATAACTCGATGTATTAGGCTAATAAACATACACATCAGTATTTAAGGTAAAAATTAACCTTCATATCAGTATGATATCATGGGTAGTAATTATGTAAGAACTATAGAAGTGAAAACGTTAGTTGAAAAAAAAAAAAAAAATGATATGACATCTAAGTATAATAACATTGTTGACGCCATCATCATTATCAACGTCGTTATCATCATATCATTACATCATAAATTTGTGCCGCGAGGCACAGAAGGTCAGGAAAGAATAATATCGACAAAATGAGCCGCGACAAAGGTAAATAAAGAAAAAAATGGCTTTCTTGTTTAAGAGGTTACTGATAACCAAAGATAAATAATTAATACGTGCTCACAATAGTGATGCACAGATCAAAGCGGCCGGAATGAACACCCGGAATCACGTTTTCGGTATTGATTTTTTGATGAATTTCACGGGAATACAAGCCCGGGGCTTAATTATCGGAATTTTATGGGATGTAAACATGCCGTGGCTTTACAGTAGCGGGAGAACCGATAAAGACGATGACAAAGCCAATCAGCGAGAACGAGACGAAATGATTTTCATCGATCAGCACTATTCAATGAACAAGAAGGCTGACCATTCACGGAGACTGCCTCGCATGACAATTTTCAAATTCTGGCAGCAGTGTTATTTCATGGATTGATTCGCATTGTCTCAGCTTTGTTCTTAATTGACTGGTAAGCGGTTTTTGTATATCACACTGTTTTATCGCCCTCGAAATTGGCATAACTATTCTGACATGATTATACAGTAAACACGAGTTGAACTTTAAAAGAACATTTGAAACAAAAGATTTCTCTTTTGAGGTATTAAATCTATCTTGAAATAACATTCTGCTCTCAAACCATTTGCAACTTAATTGTTTAAAATTCCGGAAATTTAGCTTACAACATTAACAGAAAACGGTTAGGGATTTGGCCGTCTAGGAACCTCACGAAAAATAAAGGCATTTTGTGTGGAAAGGAGGACCTGTGGGCGGTAATGCGCAGACGGATCAAAAATTGGCGTCAGGCATGAGGTTGGCGTAAGTTCGATTCCAGCCTGCTCCGAGTACGTTCCAGTAATTGCCAAACTGTAACGGAATGTTCCATTCGTGGCTTTAGCCTGTCCCGGCCAGCAGGGAACAAATGCCGATTTGCCCACGTAAATAGTAAACTGTAGTAAACAACTACGTTCTTTCATTGTGGTTTCACATAGCGATCCAAGCCATTTTTTTTTTACACGTTATGCACTGTACTTTGCTTTGTATGGTGAAATAAGCGAATTTTTGCAAGAAATTTCCTCCTTTAGAATACCTCGTCAAGCAAAACCACGATGATGAATCTGTATACATTTGCGTTTTATACGGACGCTTCAGAAAAATGCTATAGTTTACCACTGGCAAATCTTCCAAGGCGGGAAATGTATTACAGTACTGCCTGATAATGTCAAATTAAGCAGCCGAACATAATGTTGACTCTCTCTTGCTTATAGCCTTTATAGCACAGAAGTGTCAAATAGAGAGAGAACAGACAGACAGAGAGAGATCCAAATCAAAAGTCTTATTTAGGAGCTGAATTGAAAGAGCAATTGTTTGATATATGAGAGATGATTATAGATAACTGAATGTGTAATAGATCTACAGATTGTAGTTTACCTGCGCGAGCTTGCTGTTGAATGACGAGTAACGGACAGATGATTGTTGTAAAGACAGCAAACTTGACCAACTCCATGAATCCAATATTGTACCTTTTGGCTCTGTAATGAAACGATCTTCCGTGTCACGACTTGCTTGTTTCCCGCTTTCCGTGAAGACCTATTTGTATAAAACGGTTTGAAGCAAGGGTCATTTATGAGCCGTGATCTACACTATTATATTTCAACAGGTCACAATTACGTTTTAAAATAATTCATAAGCCCACAAAAATTAAGAAGTCTTGACCAAAAGCAATTAGTGATGACGTGTTTAGGACGTGGCTTTTGCGGTTTCCGTCTCGCACGTGCATTAGCAAGACTTTATGACACTCCCGCTGTTTATTAGAAGCAGTTAAACATTTCTCGATACTTCTCGTCTATTTCAAAAAAGGAACAATACATTACCACATTTAGGTAAATGCTTGTTCCCGTGCCGGGATTTGATGCAATTTGGTATGTATAGGAGGAAAAAACAATACACTTTTTGTCTGTATCTTGATATTATAGTATCAAATATTGTGTTATTGTACAGTATCTTTATAACAGAGGTTTACAGGGCGAGGGCTCGATTGGGAAGGAAATGACATAAAACGTCTACTACTGAATACTGTTATCAGTAGCCCAGTGACACTTCGACAGGAACACCCACACAAACGAAAAGAATGCAAAAATGAGGCTACCGCAGACAGAAAGTCGCTACAGGAATCTTCTTAATTGGCTTTCTTCAACAAAAATCCCACAACAATAATACCAATAATAAAAATAAAAGAAACAAACACAAGCAGATTGAAACAAAACAAAACATTTAACAAAAGAAAACTTGAAAAAGGACAAAAGAAAAAATCAACAGGAACGTTTTTGTGTTATGGTATTATATTTGCAAAAGCTTCATAAATCATTTATAATCCTGTAAAACATTGACACCATTGTCAGGGTCAGCTTTGACACGGTCGCAGTAATCTATGGAATGCTGTCATTTCAGTCGATTAAAGACTAGAATTTCAAGTGAGATCAATTCTTCGGTAAGTTATGCCCAGTTGCAGGTCTATACTTGGATACACAAATCGGTGTTAATTAATGGGCATACCTCCCCAGCTGTACCACGCTTTGAAAACTTGTCTTTATGTCAGCAATTAAAAGCATGATGGATTCCAGCCGCAAGTCTAGAAAAAACAGAAGGTGAACGGAGGAGCTGTTGACCTTTCTTGTCTTTGTATGTAACAGTCTATAAATGCTTCAAATGACTATGCAATACACTCAGTGGAATTAAGCTACTTACAGACGATAAACTCGAGGTCATATCGATAGCATTTGGACAGATCTTGTTACGATCTACGACACCATTTGATGGGGCTGAAACACGGCAGAAATCGTCAAGAGTCTTCGAGGGGATCCGGCTTTTGCGAATTATGATAATTCATTTAAAATTGATAATACTATTTATTTAAGGACCTCCGTTACTATAAAAAAGCTAGCTACCGAAAGTATTTGGAGACTCTTTTTAAGTGCCTTTGAATATTTGACATTTTCATGTGTACCCACTCCACTTTCATACTGCTGAACAGTACGTCATGTTCCAAAAAAGATAAAGTCTACACCAAAGCAAGATCTTCTTACAATAGCTTTCACATAAATAGTCGCCACAAACTCAAACGTTAAACCATTTTACCGCTGGGCATGGAAGTGCTCGAGTGCTCCAACAGCTCACATTTGAAAGGTCAGCGCGGATGGTCACACGCCGAGGGTACTTAACTCATTACAGTCGCTTCTTGCGGTTTAATAACCACTCCCTGTCTTATGAATGGTCACTGTTTCAATTACAGTGGGCTTAAAAGTTAAGAGGTGTAGCCGGGGGG